GGAAGCACTGCGGGCAGGGACGAGGGGCAGCTGTGCGGTGGCAGGGCTGCTGAGGACAGAGCTAGCAGAGGGGATCGCAAATGAAAGTAAGGTAGGGATTAAAAGGTCAGGACAAAAGCCGAAACAGCTGTCGTAGCTGCTTTCCACTCCCCGAGCTCTTTTTAATGCTGTTTTGATTCTGAGAGATCCTCTTTAATATTCTCTTGGCAGAGCGTGAGATGAGGCTTCGGCCCCCAGATTGGCCTCTCCCCCGCCCAGATGCCATCCATCACATTGTGGAGGACTTTCTGACGGACTGGACGGCCCCGAATGCTCACATCCTGCCGCTGAGGCGGTTTTTGGAGAACTGCCTCAGCACCGATCTGCGCAGTTTCTTTGCAGGTAATCTGAGCACAGGGTCGAGGTGGCAGGAGGAGGAGGGATGCAAGGGACGAGCTACAGGAGCGATCTCTTCTGCAAATCTCTTCTGAGATCTCTTTTGAGATCTCCCTGTGGTGAGCTGGTGGCCTCAGCATCAGTCACGCCTCTTTGGTGCACTCCCCAGATGGGAAAAAGTGACGGTGCTTTGTGTGCGTGTGTTCCCAAATAGCCTTTGCTCTTGCTGACCACCAGAGACTGCCCTGGGCACACCTGGATTTAGGGAAAGGTGTATGAGATGGGGCTCAATACATTTTCTAGCTGCAGCTTTCTTTCCTCCTCCATTATCTGAACGTTCCTTTGTGCCATCGGGTACCAGATCTCTTTCCATGTACTGATGATGGGATTGCTTTCCCATGGGAAGAGGGAGGGCTGGGGTGTGAGAGCCAGAAAGCCTCTGCTGCCTCCCTTCCTGGTCTTGAAGACCAGTCTGGGAACCTCCTGCAGGAAGCCCACGTGGCACGCAAAGGGAAGTGATCCTGTGGTATGAAGAAGATGGCTGCAAGCTCAAATCCAGACCCTTTTCCTCTCGGAGTGCAGACTGGAGACCCCACTCGGCATCTCCTGAGCTCTGCAGAATTCAGTCGCTTACTCTGCTGCCATCCGGGGCAGGGTGCTGGGTGGGAAACTCCAGTCCTCTTCCCTCATCCTCTCTGCGTTTTTGTTTTGAATGAGTCCTCAAGAGTTTATGGGAATTTTTGTCTGCTGAGTCCGGTTTTTGATCCTTTCCCCCGCAGAGTCCTGTTTCCTGTTTGCCTTCACCCGTCAGAAGCTGCCTCCCTTCTGTCAGCAGGGGTACGTGAGAATGCAAGGGCTGCTGGGCAGCGAGGGGCTCCGGCGCCATGCGGTAGAAGCTGGCCTGCTGGAGGATTACGCTCTCACAGACATTTCGGGCGACGGACCCCCTGACAGCCACGAAGGGTCACAGGACCAGCTGCTGCTGAGAGATCACGCGATGCCGGTTCATCCGCTGCAGCACCTTGTTAATGCCAAGGATGAGCTTTAACCTTTCTCGCTCCACTCTGAAACCCGGAGGTGCTGTCGTGACAATGTTGCAACAGGGATCCACAGCAGGATTCTGCCCTTTCCCGTGCACCTTGTCCATCCCCCCCCGCCTTCCCCTGGTCGTGAGCTGCCAAAGACCTGCTCGGATCTTGCTGTTACAAAGAGGACCGACGTGCTCCGAAGGATAAGTGAGGGGCCAAAATCCAGTGACGCTGAGGCTCCCGCCTTGTCCTTGCGGAGTTCAGAGTTGCCTGAAGATGGTGGTTGTGTTTCTCTCGCAGGCGGGCATCTGCAGTGACGCCTGGGGGGGGGTCAGAGAAGAGAGTGCAGGAACTCCTGGGTAACTTAAAATGTCACGTCCCTCTTCCGAGGCGACCTGCTTGCACCCTGTGGCGGCCTGGTGCAGGCTCTCTGCTCCTTGGATGCCGTACGCGGCCGTTTGTGCGCCGAAGCCCAAAGCAGCACTCCAGGCAAACCCCCCCGGTATTTTTCCTGCATTTCAGTTCGGGCAGTTGTGTAGCTGGAGTGGAGGGGGGGGGGTTGTTGTTACCGTGTAGGCTGGATAATTTGTCATTTCCTGGAGAACCCTACAAGGGACCTTTCCCTCCACGAAGGAGGAGGAGCTTGCCTGGAATACCTGGGACACAGAGACTCACGCTGAGTTTGGCTCCGCTGGCCTCACGTTTTTCTTCTCCCACACTAAGGAGCCCGAACGGTTAGCCCTGTCTTTTATAGAGCATGACCAATATTTCTCCTATTTTGCACTATGTCTCATCAAGAAAGTTTCGAGTGGACTTGGATGTTGTTAAAATGCTTGTTCTCTATTTTATTCCCCTCCAGTCACCCTGAGATCCTACTGGTGTTGACTGGGGGGGCTGCCCGCACTTTGTGGCTCCCTGTCAGCCACGTGCATTTGTCCATCACCTCCCCGTGGGCTCCTTCCATGGCCCTGGAGTTGCAAAGCAGGAGCATTTTGAGCTTGACCTTATGGTGTCCCTGTGATTTCTAGGAAATAGAGGAGGGGCGAGAGGGAACAACAGGCTTTTACCCCTGCAGGTGTTTCCCAGCCCCTTGGCACCCAGAAGCACGTGCCCCTCTGGGCTCATGCTTCCCAATATTTTTGTGGCGGGGGGCCTGTACCTCGAGGGACCTAAAACTCGCCCAAGCCTTCAAATTCCTGCCCCACCTCTGCTTCGTGTTTGGAGAGGCTGGGGAGCAGGAGAAGCGAAGGAGGTGACAAAGGAGTTCTTGCTCCTCTTTGGGAAGCCTGGGCTGTGCCAGTGCTGCTGCCACTGCTGCCGGATGACCTTATGTGTTCACACGCAGCCGGAAAGGGGAAACAATCACCCTCTCCCTTGGCGTCGATCAGCACCCTTCCGTGGGCTCCGCAGCCCGTTGCCCCAGCTCCAAGGCCGGTCCAGGAATGGCTTTCATGGCC